AGAAAGAGCAATAGTCTGCTTTTAATATAAAAGAGCTACTCTTTGATTGAAGTCAATGAGGCGCTCATCCTTTGCTTGGCCATCATCCCTACTACACTTCACCTTATGGGGTCTGTTAATTGACTCAACAACTGTGTGTGTGGAGGGGGGAATCAATTTGGGCCCCAAATTCCCAAGCTCTTTGAAGAATGGGGAGTTGGGGCGGGGGGTTGCCTCTCAGTTTTGCAATTCCCTCAAGAGAATTTGAGCCATGATAATACTTTGCTGCTTGTTTGACACCATAAATAAATCTTATTAATTGATTGATGCATGCAGTATATAAGCACTTTAGACTTAACTTGCACACTTGTGCTTTCTACTGAAAGATTAGTTTCTGAGTACAAGAAATGCTACTTGAAGCGGCCCCTATAGAAGCTCGATTCAAGACATGATTTCCCATTTATAGTTGGTTGGTAGGGAAGGGTGGGGTGGAATAGAAGCAGTAGGTCAACAGCTGGCTTGTTTCAAGGTTCTGCCAACATTTTTTCCCCCTCTGAAGATTGACGAACATTAGTTCGTGGCTGCTCTTCCCTTCTTTGAACTTACCAACATCTGGTTTCCATTGCTCAACAGCTTTGTAACAGGATCCACAGATGCCTCTTGCAGCACATACATTGCCCAGCAGGAGTGAGGCCATTTTGCTTGCTTTCCCTTCACAGAGAACATGTTGCCTGTCCTGTTGCTGCAGCTGCCACAACTATGGCAATTTCGCTGCATTCTGGCCTGAAACATGTACATCTCTATTGACTGTACAAGACACCAGAGAGCCTCTAAATTACAAGCGAAAAGGACGCAGCACAGGATGAGGCTTTCCTGCCCAAAGATCTCTCGCGCGGTCATTTGCGTTCCTACTGTAAATCTCTTAAGCACAAGGGAAAACCATTTTTCTTTCTGTCTTTCAACTTTGGACTTCTTCATTTTACTGAGTCCTTTTCAAGTAGTTATTTTGCTTGTTTTCTTGAATGCCATTTACTCTTAGATGGCTTTGGGGTTTTATGGCATCATAACAAATGTGATCCAAAAATTTGGGCAGCTATCATGCTGTGGGATGCTCTGCTAAAATCCAGGATAGGCTCTTGAAATCTTTTCTGAAGTATAATTCAGTAGCAGAAAGCACGGAAGGAAAGATAAAAGACAAGACGTTTAATACTATTTCTTTCTGGGTTTTTTTCTTTTGTGTAACCAAAATCATTCTAGAATATATTTGCAAACTCCTGTCATGGAGAACTTGGTATTTGCTTCTGGATTTTCATTCTTAAGAAACTATTACTTCCCTATGAGGAGTGGCTTAAGGAGCTGGGCATGTTTAGCCTGAAGAAGAGAAGGATGAGAGGAGATCTGATAGCCATGTATAAATATGTGAGAGGAAGCCACAGGGAGGAGGGAGCAAGCTTGTTTTTTGCTTCCCTGGAGACTAGGACATGGAACAATGGCTTCAAACTACAAGAAAGGAGTTTCCATCTGAACATGAGGAAGAACTTCCTGACTGTGAGAGCCATTCAGCAGTGGAACTCTCTGCCCCAGAGTGTGGTGGAGGCTCCTTCTTTGGAAGCTTTTAAACAGAGGCTGGATGGCCATCTGTCAGGGGTGCTTTGAATGCAATATTCCTGCTTCTTGGCAGGGGGTTGGACTGGATGGCCCATGAGGTCTCTTCCAACTCTTTGATTCTATGATTCTCTCTTGTTGAGAACCTACTACCAATTGGTAGTTTTCATGGATATGGACATACATTCAAAAATGTACAAAAAACTGCAAAGAAGTTCAGTATTCAAGGCAGAGAATTGATATATATTGTATATTAGCTTTCTCCCCTCTAATTTATTTTTATTTATTTCAAACACTTGTACCCCACCCTTTTCTACCCCGGAAGGGGGACTCAGGGCAGCTTACAGCCGACAACAATTCAATGCCCCATATATACAGCAAATAAACAACGGTTACATAATAAGTTAAAACATTAAAATTAGATTAAAAACCATTTAAGATAGTACAAATTGAATTAGTTGGCATGTCAAATCCACATTCTATGATCAACAACTTAGTCAGAAGCCTGTCCATAGTCCTTTTTCCATAGCATTATCACAATTTTTATTGTCAGCCTTCTATCCGAATGCCTGATCCCATAGCCACATCTTCAACTTTTTCCTGAAGGAAAGGAGGGAAGCCATTCACCTCATTTCACTGGGGAGCAAGTTCCACAGGTGAGGGGCCACTGCCGAGAAGGCCCAGTCCCTCGTCCCCACCAAGCACATTTGCAACAAAGGTGGGATCGAGAGCAGGGCCTCCCGTAAGATTGTAAATTTCGAGGTGGGATGCAGGGGGAGATACATTCGGACAAGTAAGCTGGGCCAGAGAACCTTGCAGTAGGACATGTTTAAACACACCTTTATACATGTTAATATGTGGACTGAATGGGCATGTTGTGGAGGGCAACAGCATTCTCTCTCACTAACTGTTTCTAAAATCTTGCCAGTGTGCAGTACTCATTGCTGCTACTTCACCTATTGAGACCAGACTTTCTGGAATGGCAGCTGTAGGACCCATTCCTCGTACTCTCCCCTTCCCGTGTCACTTGCACAAGGAAAACTTGCCCCGTCTCCAGAATTATTCAAAGTTTTCCCATTTTTTCAGGTTTCCTGCACCTTTAACCCTTGTGAATGTGGAGGGCCCACTGTGTTCATCTCCAAAAGTTCTTCCACACTTGATTTACCCTATATACTCATGCATAAGTCTAGCCATTTTTAGTCAAAAAGCAACCCAAAACCCCTGAGTTGACTTATCCACAGGTTAGTGGATGTACTGTACCTTAACTCTGTCTATCATCAATATCAAGAGCTTTCAAATGTCACACAACCTCAATTAATTTGCCCCAAGATATAGCACTCGATGTATTTGTGCAAAATAATAAAACTCCCACAAGTTACATCGATGCCCGTAGTTTATTTCATGCACCAAACTGGAGCTTGTTTGATACCAGGGTTTCTGTTTCCATATCACAATATCTTTGATCTTTCTTCTGGCACTTCGTTTGAACAGTCTTTCATATAATATGTCACCTGAACATTTCTCAGAATTGCGAGTGTAATGAAATTCTTTACGTGTCACTTCAGCCTAGTTTTCTTCTCTAAAAAATTAGCATGTAACTATATTGTGAGTTATTGATTAGCTTAATTATATTTATTTATGGCATAAATTGCCTTGATGTCTATTTTTGGAGTGTTTCCTCTTTTCCTCCATGTGGCAATGGGACTGTGGGATAAAGTGGTCAGCCAAAACATAAAACCAGATGCTTTTCTGCAAAGACCCATATCACACTCTTTGATGCTCTTACTGTAGTTTCATCATTTGTGGCACTGAGAAACTTGTTCATATATATGGGCATATTTTTAGGGAATATCTGCCTTTTCCGAGTCTCATCCTTTTTATGCAGGGAAAATATTATATTGCCCAAGATCTCTGTTTCCCTCTAGCTACTACTTGTTTTTTAAAATGAAACCGGTAAGATCTGAAATACGAAGGAAATTGTTTTCCACTGGAGTCCAAAGATGAAAGAGTCCCTTTTTTTCCTCTGCATCTGTAAATCAAGCTTTACAAGCTATTTGAGCCATGTTGACACCTGTGTACCCCACCTCCCCTCAATTTGCCTTCTTATTCTGCAAAAGGGGGAAGTTTTGAGTGTGTGCTAGATTTCATGCCTTGGGTGCTGTGAGTCTGAATTTATTTCTTAAGCAGTTAACTCTTTACCTAGAGTTTTGTTCCTCTTTTTGGTCCCAAAGCAGCTGCCTAAATACCAAAGGCACCAGATCCCATATGATCAGGAAAGCTAAGCAAAGTCAGCTCTGGTTAGTACTTGGATTGGAGATGGCCAATGCATACCAGATGTTGCAAGCTATATTTCAGAGGAAGGAAGTGGCAAAGCCACTGCTGAATATTCTTTGTCTAGGAAAATCCTATTAGATTCATGGGGTTGCCATACATTAATAGGTGACTCGAAGGCACCTATAGGCACTAGTTCATTCCCAAGCATCTCTCTATTGATGTCCTTCATTGAGTCATAGGTTTTACCTAGATCCACCAACTCAGTTGCAACTGGTCCCATGGCTGTCTGTTTTCTTATCTTCTGATTCATTCAATTGCATTGATGCTGCCTTACAATGCTCAGCATGAAGAGCTTTCTAAGAAAATCATACATTTGACCTTTTCGATTTTGGTGTACAAATTCCAGAATCTCATGGCCAATATGAATACTGGGTTCCAGGGTGTATATTCCCAAAAAGTAGTCTCCCAAAGTGAATTTTCAAGGCTATGAAAGAAACATGGTTAGCAGAGAAGGTGCTGGCAGCCACTAAGAGCATCAAGTGCCTGGGGATAAGGTTGCTGATCTAGGTTGGTCTCAGACTTCTCTTCTAAGACAGCAGATGAAGAACCAGATTCTGGGAAGTTTATTTATTTATTTATTTATCCATTTAGAACATTTATACCCCATCCTTCTCAACCTCCGAGGAGGGACTCAATTCTGCAATTCAGTCAAATGAAGTTGATTTAGTTCAACTCCTTTATGTAAAAGAAAAATTATCCACAAAATTAAGACACATTAAAACATTTCATTGTATAATCTGCCATGTCATGGTTTCAGCATGTGAAGTTAGAAAACAAAGGTGGATTTTGGTGCAATACATGCCAGAGGTTTTTGAGAAACACTTTAGTATAGCAGCCTGGGTGAAATGCCTATGGAACGAGTAACCTCACAAAGTACAGGCCCTTTTTTTGCCTTGCAAAATTGCCTGTCATGAGCAAGTTTTGCATATATTCCCTGAAGCATTCCACTGAGTGAGTTAAATTGTGTGCTCCATAGCGAGGAGAGTTGTCCTCTGTTCCAGTCATACAGGATTGCTAACCAATTAGATATCCTCCTAGAATCTGCTTCATTCTCTGACCTTTTGTTCTCCATTTACTTACAGAAGTAAAGTCCACTGCAGAGACCCTGAAGCCCACTCTGAAGAGCGAGGAAATCACCACTCAGTTTCCCATTGATGAAGAAGCAACAGACTGTGGTGATGGCTGTGTGGAAAATGGAGGTATTTACTGGGCCACTCTATCAATATTGCATAGATTGTACTGTCCGAGGCTTTCATAGCTGGAATCACTGGAGTGCTGTGTGGTTTATGGACTGCATGACCATGTTCCAGCAGCATTTTCTCCTGAGGATCATCAGAGGATCATCTGAAAATGTCAGCCACAGATATAGGTGAAACATCCAGAGAAAATACTCCTAGAACATAGTCATACAGCTTGGAAAACGCACAACACCTCATTGTATAGATTCATGGAGAGGTACTAATATAAAGAGCTGCTGTCCCCAGCAGTGTTGCACCGTGCAAAGGTTTCTGGCTGCTTTCAGTCCAAGGAGACTACTCTCAGGCTGGCAAAAAGAATGGCAAAAAGAATAGCCAGGATTTCGATTGGGGGGGGGGGCTGAGTTTGATTGGGGGGACTGAGTCTGAGTGAAAGAAGCTCTACCCTAGCAAACCTTTTGTATCATTACCCCAGTACCCCCATGCATATGGGATATATTGAGTATGGTGATCAGATCATGGTATGAATAAACGTAACAGTTTAAATAATGCACCAGTAAGGCCTTCTCGCGGACCACCCTGAGAATTTCGGAGAGGGGGGGCTGAAGCCCCCCAAGCCCCCCCTCCCCCGGCTACATGCCTGGCCTCAGCAGACCTAAACAGATATTGTCTTGTCCACCCTCCTCCCACCCTGATCTGTCCCACTCAGTCTCATAGTCACCCTCTAGAAAGCTTTCCCTCATTTCTCAGCCATGTCCAAAAGAAGTCTTTATAGTTTATTTCCCCATTCTAAAATCAGGAGACAACTCATGTTCTCCAATGTCCCAACTTATTCCCATTTTGTACAGGTGTGCAAAAAGATGCCTCTTGGTCACCTACGCTTCTTTTCTCTCACCTTAAATCTACTTTCCCCATACCTTTATCAGATTTCTAACCAAACTGTTCCTGTTCTCCAGCATCCCCTCATCCAGGTCCCAGTTTGAACTTTCATAGGTGAAGGGAAGGCTTGGGAGCATCAGATTGATCTTGAGCTGCAGTTTGGCCAGTTCAGTCGCATTGCTGCCAATACTGTATTTGCAGCTAAGTGATTGCTCTTCTTCTCTTCTCTAGTTTCCTAGCCAAGGGAACTGGGGATTGAAGAATAATATTACTAGTGACAGGCTAGGCTGTAGAAAGGTTCAGATACAAGTCTGAGCTTGTTTATTATGGAGGAGTGAGGGACTTCACAGAATGTTCCATTGATTTGCTGAACAGTTAAGGGTGGGTGTTTTGTGTTTTTTTTAACAGGACCAACCCTGGTATATTTATGTTTGTTCTATCCCTCCTGTCCAAAGATTGCTCTTGAATAACTTCCAAGAGAAATCTTCTTTCTCACTTCCTTTACAAAAATAGTTCTTAGCAATTCCTATTAGGCCTATCCCCAGAAATTTTAAGTTGGGGTAACTTGAGTACGAGAAGGTGATTCTTATAGTCATCATGATGCTTGTAAAATATAATATATAAAAGTTTGCACATCTCCTACCAAGAAATAAATACATGTACAAAGCAAGCCAGTGCAGATCCATGAACCCAATGGTCTGTTGATTATTATTTTTTTTTAGGAAGGAGGGCTATAGGGACATTTGAGGTGGTTGGGCTTGTTTCGCAAAGCATGTTTTAGCCAAGTCTCATGCAAAAAACACCCAAACAAGAGGAAAAAGGAACAGAAAAACTTTACTCTTATCAGCAGATGCATAAACTTGCAGTGTTGCATACAAAATCAAACAGTGCAACAAACTTGTAAGTAATACAGAACAAGGCTTCTTCATCTTCATTCAAATGAGAGAGTAAATAGCTATTCCACCATAGCAAAGAGCATCGCTGTTAGAGTATAGCAGCATTACAGCATATTGCTTCTCCTCAGAGTAGCATATTACTCCTCCAAACTGTATTCTAAAATCCATACAGTTATACTCCACCGGGTCTGGCCCAAACATGCTGGCTGACCTACATTACCAGCTGTACATAATAATTAACACCATAAGGTTTTTCTTTAACACACATTTGATCCTGCTACAACTTACTATAACAGGGTTTCCATGGACACTCTTGTGACTGAAGGCCCGAACCCCATTATATGGATAATTCACATTGATGTGGTTGGTCTTAACCTTCATCCTGACATGCAGGTTTACTTTGTGAAGGGCTTTAATATTTTCATAAATAGCCAGTAGATCATTCTGTCCATTGAGACCCTGCCTGCAGTCTCTGCTAACACAGCCAAGATCCCAGATTTATTTCCTCCAGGTGAAATCAGTCTTGACCCTTACTGAATTGCTATGTAATTTTCTAATTTACAAAAATGCTAGTAGTTTGTTCTAATTGTATGTTTCAGGATGGCTGTGGGTAGTTTAGATTCTTTTGCTTGTATCTCGCTATGATTTTCATCCTCAGAGGTCACAAACATTTGATATAGCTATGTTCTCAGGCTCTGTAAACAATGGTCCCAATTTCTTTAGGCAGCCAGATTTATGGAAGTCTGAAGAAAACAATGCTTCTCTCAGGAGGGTCATTAGATCAGATCATAAATCTAAAGGAACTATATCCATTATTAGTGTGAGTTGTGATTATTGCCATTATTTTTTTGAAGCTAAGGTGAATTGTTTCCATTTCTGTATTAATAGCTGCCTGACAGCTATCACACACAGGTTCCTAACCTCTGCATTCGTGATCATTATCTTTCTTATTTTAGTGATTTAAAACTTCCTCCTAATGTAGGAAAAATTCAAGTAAGATGCAGCTAGCACTACATTATTTTTTTCCTGAATTGCCCTTCCTGCCATGGAAGGATGCCAAGGTTATTGCTGCTTGCAGTAGAATGGAGCAGTTTCTCTGTCAGCCTTCCCATGTCAAGGCTACTCCAAAATTCCCATAACCTGAAGCTTGGCCAGTTCTAAAAATTGAATGAGTCATTTCCATCATCTTGTGCTCACACACTTTCATGGGCAACTATGGCAGTGCATAACAAATAGATAAAATTGATTGATCTGTGAACTGGAGCACTGAAACCAGCATGGAATCTATTGAGAATCTTTCCATAGCTATTTTTTGCAAAGGTATACCCTGCTCAGGTATGCTTAGAAATCATTTTTGGGATCCACTCCACATCTAGAAAAAAATAATAAGAAGGTTACTTTTTGTGTTTTCTACAACTCTTCTTATTGCTTCCACTTGTATTACAAAGGAAACAGTTGTTACTGTATATACATACTGCACTTTCTAAATGATGCACGCTGTAGTTTTTGATAAACTACATACATCAGCAAAGTCCATAGTTGTAATATACAAGGGTTGAATGAAAAATAATGCCTCCACCTTCATAACTCCTCAACAGATGGCAGTACTGGTATTCAGCAGGTACTGGCTTGTTCAGTAGACTCTCCTCTACAGTTGCATTTTGGCTGGAAGCCTTAGCATTGAATGGTTGTGTTGTTAAAGTATGGAACCCTGTGCAAACGGTTGGTCAATGTGACGTAAACAACATGCAGTCATTGAATTCTTGACAGCAGAAGGTGTCACCTCAACATCTTTAAACTTACTCGCCCAATGACGCACAGTACTCACATCAACACAATCACCATAAACAGCTTGCATTCTCTGATGAATCTCCTTTGAGGTGACACCTTCTGCTGTCAAGAATTCAATGACTGCACGTTGCTTAAGTCGCATTGACTGACTATCTGCGCAGGGTTCTATACTTCGCACCTCAATGACACAACCATTCAATGCTAAGGCTTCCCACCAAAATGGAACTGTCGAGGAGAGTCTACTGAACAAGATGGTATCTGCCGTATACCAGTACTGCCATCTGTTGAGGAGTTACGAAGGTGGAGGCACTACTTTTCATTCAACCCATGTAGAATCCCAACAGGGCCTTCTGTCCTTCATAGTGAACCTTCTAAAATACTGCTGAACTCAAACTATAGTACAAAAATGGCTGTGGACACCAAATTCCCTTTACATTCAGTGGGATTCAAATGAGAATAAGGAAATACACATAGGCTTGAGCTTCTATCTGTTCTACCCAGCAAAGCTGATAGTGATGATTGGAGTTGTAGTACAGTAATACCTGAAGGGGCATGGATCTTCATCCCTGATGGAAGTCATTCCCATTGGCATCAAAGCCAATTGATTTGAACTCACATGTACTGAGTTTTATAAATTCCCATTCATTGTTCATTTACTGCAACACAGCAGATGTAGATGGAGGCCCTGGTCACACAATGGGTTAAACCCTTGTGCCAGCAGGACTGCTGACCAAAATGTCAGTGGTTTGAATCCAGGGAGCGGGGTAAGCTCCTATTTGTTAGATCCAGCTTCTCATGCCACAGGATGGTAAAACATCCGGGTGTCTCCTGGGCAACGCCTTGCAGACGGTCAATTGTCTCATACCAGAAGTGGCTTGCATTTTCTCAAGTCACTCCTGGCACAAAAAAAAGCAGATGTAGAACAGATAACAGAAAACAAATGCCACCAGCAAAGTTTTCTAGTTGTGTGGTAGAACCTTAGACACAACATATATCAATAGACTTTGATTGTGTTCACAGTGAGATGAGATGCTTATTGTGTATGTTCCTGGATTTGAATTATACACACATAATCATTTTTAAAACTATAATCAGTATTTCTCAGGGTGATGACCCTGAGAGGACAGTCTCACTATTGGTTTGATTATTCACTACAAATGTCAATTTTTTGAGTTCTTCTTGTTCTTCTTTTTCATCATTCACACTGTCACGGAATTGTATAGCAAAGATAGAGGACATGGCAATCCATCCTTAATTAGCAGAGTTTACATTTATGGAAAGTATTAGCGAAATATGGAAGCATTTACTGCTTTCATTTATGTTTTGCTGAGAGATGTGGGATACATGTTGTACATTTTGAAGAGTTGGAACTTAAGACTGATCCACAAAAGCCGCTGTAACATGAGACATGCCAAAAGCGTCATAAGGCAGCTAGAGGGGGAACATGCACTCACACACGCATGCCAAAGACTTCATTACTTCCTTAACTATTTATGGTTTGCCAACTATGTTCGTTATTAAATAGCATGTTTGTGTGTCTGCCCTTTCTATGATGCCATTTTCATGTTGTCCTGTTCTTGTCAGATTTCCAGATCCCTATCGGATTCAACTGCAACTTTGATCTGCCTGGAGATCTTTGTGGTTGGACGCCTGATATGTCAGTAGGATCTACATGGACTTTCCATTCTAGAAACCCCTGGACTAGCCACTCAGGACCAGGCATTGAGGGTTATCCAGGTAAGCTAGTTCATAAAATCGCCAGAGAAACAGACTTATTATTTGTGACTCATGATTTGTGGGGTAAAAAAAACAAGTTCCTGAAGCATCCCTCAAAAATGTGGTATATTCTCAAAATGCCATGGCTGAGCTGCCTTTTAGCAATTTTGTGGTAATTATGCATTTGCTATAAATCAGAAGGAATGTGACGCATTTTCCAGACAGAAGTACATTGTAACTGATATTCATATCTTCAGAAAACAAGCTGTTCTTAGATATCACATTTGTGAATGCTGACTCATAGTTAAAAACATGCTGCTTCTGCTTATCCCCCAAAGAGAAGATTAGGATAATGTGCCAGCCTTTCACATGCAGGATGAATTCAAAATAACATGCAGTCTTCCTTGCCAGTGTGTACTGAATGGTACTGCCCTGAGGGAGTGCTTTTTCTCTTTGGTTGGCTTGGATCTGACTTAGCTCAAACCAGGAAATCTCTGAATTTCCCATTACTCAGAATAGTTCAGACTCCATTTGAACCTCAGTGCATACATGCCTTCCTATTTTAAACAACCTTGATTTTCCTTCTGCACATATATCTCTCTATATATAAATGCTCTGTGCATGGTGAGTAGGCTAAAAACAAACAAACGAAGGGGCCAAATATCACCAAATTTCGCCTCCAAACGCCTCCGAAACATGGTCATCCAGTCTTTCCAAAAGTTTCTGCATGTAAAACCTGTTTTACAAAGAGAGACTGACTTCTAAAACAATGTAAAGATGAGGCTTGACTAAGGGTCTTATTTCTTTAATAAAATAACATTAGAATTCTTTATCTTGTACATAAAATACTAGTGGAACATTGGAAAGGCAATTGTTTGGATTTCTAGTTCACAAGACACCTGTGAGCATGCCCATTTTTCCTTATTAATCATAATAATAATATGACCAATAATTAATAAAAACCCCAAAACAGTGAAAATAGCATTAAAATCCACACACATATACACTCATATATATATATATATATATATATATATATATATATATATATATAAAAACAAATAATACATATATATGTACACATATACATATACACGTGCACATGCATACACAGATACACATACATACAGATATACAGGGTGAGGCAGCATAACCTCCTTTTTTAAAATGCGTGCCATTCAGTCAGTTGAAGACGTAGTGAAGCGCTAATGGTCTCATTCGAGAGGCGGGAGTATAAAGTTTTGTCCTGACACAGTTAAGTCGCCGTCATGCGTTGGAACAGTGAGGAGTGTGCTTTTGCCATTGAGCAGATTTGGAGTGGCCGGCCCGTTCTCCAGATTTGGCCCCTTGTGATTTTTTTCTATGGGGTTTTTTGAAATCCCATGTTTCTGTGAACCGTCCAAGGACCCTACAAGATTTGAAGGCCAACATCCAGGAAAAAATTGCCAACATAACGCCTGCTATGCTGGCAAGAGTCATGACAAACGCTAGAAATTGGTTTACTCAGTGTATGGAGAATGGAGAATGGGGGACGTCACCTACCGAATTTGATCTTCAAAACTACGTAAAAAATTCTGACTCATACAATGGGTTTTATTAAGGTTTGAAAAAAGGAAGTTGTGCTGCCTCACCCTGTACATATACACATGCAAACCACACATATATACATATGCCCATGCACACATACATACACACATATATATACATATACACAAGCACTTGAGCTGTGGTGTTGGAGGAAAGTTCTGAGAGTGCCTTGGACTGCGAGAAGATCCAACCAGTCCATCCTCCAGGAAGTAAAGCCCGACTGCTCATTGGAGGGAAGGATACTAGAGACAAAGTTGAAGTACTTTGGCCACATCATGAGGAGACAGCAAAGCCTAGAGAAGACAATGATGCTGGGGAAAGTGGAAGGCAAAAGGAAGAGGGGCCAACCAAGGGCAAGATGGATGGATGGCATCCTTGAAGTGACTGGACTGACCTTGAAGGAGCTGGGGGTGGTGACGGCCGACAGGGAACTCTAGCGTGGGCTGGTCCATGAGGTCATGAAGAGTCGGAGACGACTGAACGAATGAACAACAATACACAAGCACACACAAATATACACATATACAGATATATTGCCCACCCAGATAACTTTTGAAAAGACTTGCAGCATAACAGCCTGACTTCTTCCACCCTATAGAAAACATTTGTGAGGAGGTGTTCCCTAGCCCACATTTTTTCATGTCTGGAATTCCTGTTTTCTGAGGGCCACAGCAACGCATGGCCAGGGTACAGCTAGTCATCATTAAACCTGATAGTGAGCCGATCTTGCAGCTTTCTTCCCTGAGACTGCACAGTTATTCCTAAGGCCAACACTCATGCATGTGTAGGTAAATCCCTAAGATTTGCTTCTGGAGTTCTGGCAATTCTGCTGGGACTAAGGGATTGTATCCTAAGTCAAAAGAATTGAGGGAGTTTTTGAGGATTGTAAAACATGATTTTTTTTACAGAGTTGACTGAACCTTTGCACAGCGTAGTCCAGTGCTATTCAGAGCAGTGGCCTGTTGAGTGATATTAGAAAATGAGCCATGGATTGAGACCCACAGCAGGTTTCCAGAAAAATAACATTGGGTCCAAATATGGCACCAGTTTCTCATACTTTAGAGAGAAAAAAACTCTGCTATGGTCTGTATCAAATAATGTAAGAAGCACAAATGGAGACATCCAAAGTTTATCTGGCAGCTGGAAGTCTGTTTCTCTTCTCTTGCAACAAATTCTGTGATTGATGCTCCAATCAGATCTGTATTAGACTTGCAACACCCCCTCCCCCAAAACACACACACACACAACAACAACAATAACATGGATGCTGTGCTACCATTGAATAAACATTCCCTGCATTGGCTTATTTTCTGTGGACATGTGTTAAGATTTCACGCCACCAATCCAAGGATGATTAGACATGGGCCTGCAGTTTGAAGAGGATCTCTCGCACAGTTAAATTCCATCCTCAAGGCTACCTGTGTGCAAAAACACCAATCACAGTCACATCTTGTGTGATGAGCATGGATATTCAATAAATCCTATTGATTCTCCTTCCACTTTCCAGTGGGTCTTCACTAACATGACAGTGTTTTGAAAACTGGCAATTTATTCTCCCTGATAGCTCTTCCTTGTTGCAGGTAAATTGATTGACTGATCTAAGAGGGTCTTGAAAAGAAAGATGGCGTACTCCTATTAGGCAAGCCAGGAAAGAGGGATTTGTATGAAATAAAAATGTTGATCACTGATTAATTTGGGATTTAGTTGGTTAAATATCTTTCTGTACATTATTGGCGTTCAATTTTTTAATCTTTAGAGGAAGCTTCCTTTATCAAATATTCTGCAAGCCAATGCACCCAGAGCATTATCTTAAATGCCACAGTATATTACAGAATATGCACTCAGGTAATGTGTAGCCCTCGACAGGACTGTTGGGCTTCATAGGACTGTTGCCTCATGACTACCCTAAAGCAAAGCCTACACTCCTTCACATTTAATGGGATAAACAGAAGTGGTGGCAATCTATTTTTAAGCAGCTCAATCATTTTCCAGCTGAGTAACTTTGGGGATGAGGAAGTGAGTTTGGTGAATTCAAATTCTAATATACACCTTGTAATTTAACGTGAAGATTGGACTATAGAAGCCATTGTACAGTCAATATTATAGCTGCTCCTGTGAGATCGTAGTCTGATGGCTGCTTTCCCTTCCTTTCCTACATATATAGCAGTTAGCACATGGAGCTTCTGTTACATAGGCCAAAAAGATAACTGCAGTTGACCCAACCCTGTTGATGTGCTGTTTCTTTCAGGCACATCATATAGAGGGAAAACATGGCTGCCTCCCCATTGAGTCAGTAGCCATATTGCTTCCGTTGCCATCTTTTTGAGAGCACATCACCACATCTTATCACTCCCAGTAGAGCTGCAGTGGTGCCTTCAACACATGTGGCACTAAGCTATGGCCATCTTTTAACCCAGGAGAGCTTTTTTTTTTTTTGGTTGTGTCAGGAGCGACTTGAGAAACTGCAAGTCGCTTCTGGTCTGAGAGAATTGGCCGTCTGCAAAGGGGGCGCCTGGATGATTTGAAGTTTTTATCATCCTTGTGGGAGGCTTCTCTCATGTCCCCACATGAGGAGCTGGAGTTGATAGAGGGAGCTCATCCGCCTCTCCCCGAATTCGAACCTGTGACCTATCGGTCTTCAGTCCTGCCGGAACAGGGGTTTAACCCACTGCGCCACTGGGGGCTCCCCCAGGAGAGCTGTAGTGGTGCTTTCAACACATGTAGAACTAAGTTATGGCCATTTTTAATCCAGGAGAGCTGCAGTGGTGCCTTCAACACATGTGGCACTAAGCTATGACCATCTTTTAACCCAGGAGAGCTGCAGTGGTGCCTTCCTCACATGTGGCACTAAGCTATGGCCATATTTTAACCCAGGAGAGCTGCAATGGTGCCTTCAACATATGTGGCACTAAGTTATGGCCATCTTTTAATCCAGGAGAGCTGTGGCGGTGCCTTCAATACATGTGGCACTAAGCTATGGCCATCTTTTAATCCAGGAGAGCTGCGGTGGTGCCTTCAACACATGTGGCACTAAGCTATGGCCATCTTTTAACCCAGGAGAGCTGCGGTGCTGCCTTCAACACATGTGGCACTAAGCTGTGGCCATTTTTTAACCCAGGAGAGCTGTAGTGGTGCCTTCAACACATGTGGCACTAAGCTATGGCCATCTTTTAACACATGTTTATTTGAAACTCAGTGTGGAAACAGCCGATCTGAGCACACCATGACCTTTGGTCATGGTGGCTTTGGCAGTGAGAATTTGCCTCTAATGCAGAGTCATAAATCCATACCAATCCACTACTTATGTTAATGATATCTAAATGCATGTGGGAAAATAACATGGGAATAGTCACCTTATGTTCTTATCTAAGGCCAAAACAGATATGTCTGGTAAAGCAACAGAGGGTAGGATGAAGGGATGAGTCATCCCATGT